AGGCTGACACCATCCGACGTATCCGCAACAGCAAAGACTCGTGGGATATGTTGGGAGTCAAACCCGGGGCCACGCGGTGAGTCGCCAGCATACAGGCCATCTTTTCAATAAAGTTGTTTTGTTTTTTTGTCACATTGTGTCTAATGCAGTTTACTATCTTTTCATTTCTAGGGAGGAGGTGAACAAGGCGTACAGGAAGCTGGCAGTCCTGCTGCATCCAGATAAATGTGTTGCCCCCGGCAGTGAAGACGCGTTCAAGGCGGTGGTGAACGCCCGCACCTCACTGCTAAAGAACATTAAATAACACACACACACACACACACACACACACACACACACACACACACAGAAACAACTGGACCTGCTGTCACTCAGACACAAACTGATGACAAACTTTATTTATTTATTTATTTCTGTATTTATTCAGCGTACGTGTCATGTGTGCCATTTTGCTTGCCACAGTGCGGTATGCCAACATAAACCAGTTTTAACTTATTATATGATATTTTAAACACTACACTGGAGAGAGTATGGAAGACGATGAGTGCCACACAAATGAAAAAGATACAAACTCTGTGAAAAACATTTCAAAATTAAATTATTTCAAATTTTTACTCTTTAAAGGTACTTGTCCTGTGTGTGTCCACTTAAAGCTGTCAAAAACAAATTAAGGGCATAATCGCTTAAACTGCATGCTGAATATTTAAAAAAAAGAACTTTAAATTTCAATGTAGCAAAAACCTGCCAAATCCTCATCGTCAAAAACGAATCTGAAACCAAAATGGGTTAAACTTGTAGGCACGGTGGAGTTAAACTACCAGCTTTGCTTTCTTTGTGACTGGAAATAAACCCATCAAAATGTTCTTCTCTGTAATGTCGGGGTTAGTTTAATGTACTTCTCCTGGACAAATCAGAATACTTTATTAATCCCTTAGCTAAGGAGTTTCACATAGTTTCCTATATTCATGTCAATGTCAATTAGGTCACCCACACATGCTACCCCATTTAAATTAATTTGTTTCTGTAAGTGTTTATATGGAGCTCCTCACATTTGTTCCCTGAAAAAGCATATCTCTACTCTCACACTACTAATTTCCTCCATTAAAATCACTCACCCCAAGTAGCTGACTTGTTCCCTTAACTAGTTAATTTAACCTGTTTCTCGGTTGATTATTGGCCTAAAAGTTTAGTTTGTGTCCAAACTATTAATTTTATTTTTTTTGTACATTGTTTGTTTTATTGACTTACTCCATTATTTCTCTGATTTGTTCCCTCCTACTGTGGATAAAGTGAAAATGTTAATGCATGCCCTTAAATCACTTTTTTCTCCAAAGTGCCAACCTATTCTTTTAACTCATCGAATAGTTCGCTGAACATATTTTTAAGTCTTGTTTCTTTAAAATCAATGGAATCACTTGTGCATGTTTATATTTTCTTGGTTTGTTGCCTCAGATCATTAATTTTTTTCCCTCAAACTGCCAAATATTGTATTGGTTCCCTAATGTTATTTGTTATTACATTTATCCCAAGTAAACTATTACCTAAAAAATATATTTAAAAAACGAATAACTGATTTATTTCTTTGGCAGTTGATAGAAATTACACATTTTGTTAAGATTCAAAATTCCTTATTGGTTTTCTTATTAAGTTATTTTCATTTGAACAAAAATGAACAAAAATATTTCTTGAAGAAAAACAAATTTAAAAAAAAGATTCAACATGGTCATCCCATCACCACATTTTAACGTGTGATTCGTCTTCCATGAGATGAGAGTCATAGTTGATGTTTACATGATGGTAATTAACACGATTGGTTGTTAAAAGAGAGACTTGTGCCCGTTTACTGACTTTGTATCACACAAAATGTCTTGTTAAAGCAGAAAAGTGTTTCATATTGTAAAGAACTCATAGGCAGCATGAATATGTTATCATAGTTTTATATTTTTACATATGTGCAACCAAGCAATCCAGAAAGAGGTTCCACTTGTTGCTTTAATGTGATTTTTATGTTATGCTTTAAAGTTCAAGTCAATTGATCTTGATTAGAACATATTGCAAATGTGGCTTTTTATCAACATTTTACATCAGCCCTGTTAATACTCAGCTATATTAATATCTGTGGATGTGAATATATATATATATAATATTTTCAAAATACTAAATTGTAAAGCAACTTTAATTCAGTTTTCCACAGAAGTGATAATATTGAAAGCCAAACCAGTGAATTGAGAAAAGTAAAAAGAGAGAGTAGTGAGAAAAGATAATATTAAATTATGTGAAAAATATTACAAAAGACTATTTTCAAACAAAAAATCTGTAATGATTTATGCGTTATATATTATGAAAATTTCTTAAAGGGATTTCAAACAATTTAAATCCCTTTAATAAAAAAAAAAAAAGATAAATCCCCCAAATTGAAATCTGTAATGAAAACAAAACATTTTGATGAAAACACTATAAAGTCAATTTAACTTACCTTAGAAAAAATATATTAATGCATAATATAAAAGTAAAGTAAGAGGTTAAAAAATAAAAATCACACTAAACTTGAAAGTGGAAGAGGAGTTTTAATGAGCGTTGGCCAATCAGTCATGTTATTTCAACCAGTTTTCTCTCTGTATTGTTTATTTTAATCACATGATTTATGTTACAAACACTCTGAGCTAACTCCTAATGTGACTGTGTGTTTGACGGATGTGTGATTTGGCACAGTTTGAACTCTGTACCTCATGGCTCAAACATAATGAATTCCTGTTGCCTGATGTTTAATTTATACATGTGCACTGAATCTATGTAGAGCCTACGACATAGATTTAACACAAAAGTACAAATTTCCCCTTAGTTTGTGCAGTCATCAGTCACATGATGACGTGCGAGCGCTGGAGTGAGTGTGTGTTACAGTTACAGACTAAATGTTGTTCTGCTAGATTGTTTTTAATTAATAAAAAGTCACAAAAATGAATTCTGATGTCAGCCTGTTCTGATTTTTATCTTGAGGTGTTTTACCTGCTGCCAGGTCCTGGATTTCCTTTGATATCTCAAGATTTTAGGAAATCCTTAAATCATTCTGAAATATACCGTGAGTGTTTTATTTTTGTCATTTATATTAGTTTATATTTATAATTTACTATAATTTAGTATTTTATAATTAGTAATTAATAATAAACCTGGAATGATTCAGAAATTCAGATTGTGTCATGGAAATAATACAAAAAATAAATATAAAACTTTTTTCTTTTTAATTTTTTATATTTTAAACCTCTGAACACAACTTGTTATAATTGTTTGACTATTTCAGAATATTTTCAAATTGAAAGTATTTAACCTTTTTGGGGAAAATGAATTATTATTAGTTTATTTTATTGTTTTGTAACTTAGTCAGTTATTTGGGTTTTTTAATGTTCTGTAACTTTAGGTATGTTAAGGTTGAGTCATCACTGAGTTTGTTTTTTACAAATAATTCTCCACAACTTTGTGTCTAATTTCTTGCAAAGGGTCAGTTAATCTGATTCTAATAGCTGTGGTCTACTTAATAAAGCTATAGTTTGTTTTTTTCAGTGAGAAAACTTTTTTCAGCCAAAGTCGACCTTCATGTGCTCATATAACCATTAAACTTTAAGAATTTAGTGAAACCGGACCAGCAGGATGCACCACCACAAACAAAGGACTGAATTTAATGCAGTTCTGACTTCTTGTTGTCTGTACTTCATCTTGTCTTCACTGAACCGAGTTTAATGAAGTGAGCTCAATGGCTTAGCGTGCTCTGTTGAGTTTCAAGTCAGTTTGCTGTGTCTATACCTGGCTAAATCACCACGGTAACATATGCACATAATCTGGTCAGGAGCAGGTTATGTTCAGAGTTTGGGTTTAATATCAGATAGAATTGCCCTTTGATTCTTCTATTTATTTTAAGTGCAAATATAATACGTAATATAATATTGATTTGTGCAATATTATATTACGTATTATATTTTTTTCTATATTATGTATAATATGTAAGATGACCTGATGTGCAAAAAATTATTATTACTGTTCAAAATGGGTCAGCTGTTCAAGAGTCTGATGGCAGTGGGCAAGAAGGAGTTGTTGAGTCTCGATATTCTGGATTTCAAACTTCTGAACCTCCGCCCTGAAGGCAGAAGTGTGAACAGTCTGTGTTGGGGGTGTGTGGGGTCTTTGAGGATGGAGGCAGCTCTCCTCGGGACTCGATGATGGTAGATGCTCTGCAGAGAGGGCAGCGGTGTCCTGGTGATCTTCTCCACAGTTGTTATCACTCTCTGCAGGCGTTTGCGGTCCATAGCAGTAGTGCTGCCGTACCATGCAGTGTTGCAGCTGGTCAGTGTGCTCTCCACAGTGCAGCTGTAGAAGCTGCTGAGGATCTTGGCCGACATACCAAATTTCCTCAGCCTCCTCAGGAAATACAGCCGCTGCTGAGCCTTCTTGACCAGCTGTGTGGTGTTCAGTGACCAGGTGAGGTCCTCGTGATGTAGACGCCCAGGCACCTGAAGCTGCTCACCCTCTCCACTTCAAGGCCCCGGATAGACAGCAGTTGGTGAGGTCTCCTCTTCTTCCTCATGTCCACTATCATCTTCTTTGTCTTGTCAGTGTTGAGGGTGTCCTCACACCATGACACCAGACCGGCCACCTCTCTCCTGTAAGCCGCCTCGTCTCCTCCAGTGATGCAACCGATCACTGCAGTGTCGTCCGCGAACTTCAAAATTATGTTATCTTTCTTGGAGGTGACACAGTCGTGAGTGTACAGGGTGTAGAGCAGGGCTGCCCAATCCCAGTCCTCGAGAGCTACTATCTTGCAGCTTTTAGATGCATCCCTACTCCAACACAGCTGAATCAAATGAATGGCTTGTTATCAGGCCTTTGCCAAACACGATGGCATGCTGAAGAGGTAATCAAACCATTTGATTCAGCTGTGTTGGAGTAGGGATGCATCTAAAAGCTGCAGGACGGTAGCTCTCGAGGACCGGGATTGGGCACCCCTGGTGTAGAGGATGGGACTAAGGATGCAACCCTGTGGGACGCCAGTGTTTGTAATAATGCTGGCTAAAGTTGTGTTGCCAATCCTGACGGACTGCGGCCTGCCAGTCAAAAAGTCCTGCAACCAGTCACATAGGGTTGGGTGCAGGCCGACTGTTGCCAGCTTGTGAGTGAGTTTGTGTGCAATGTGGCTGCTGTGTGGTTAATTGTACTAACAGACCATCAAACTTCCAACTATGGTGTTGATTGATAGGAAAACATCAACTTTGTCATTAATGTTTTGTCTTGTTCACTATTTAATTTGTCTGAACACCCTGAGGTGACCTTATGAAGTTTTCTCTTGAGTTTCAGTTGTTTCTATCCTGAACTGAACCGTGCTGACTCCATCTGACCTGGTTGGAGGTCTACCAATCCCATCAGGCACCTGAACCTCCCCACACACAGTTAATCTGTCTGATTAATGAAGGGCCATTTGTCTTTGTTTCGGGGATTTCTTTTGGGATTAACATGCTCAGTCAGACATCTGCTGCTTCACATCAGCGCATTACTCAAATCCTCATCTCCTGACTTGGCCTCGCTCTGCTCTGTTTGTCGCTTCTGGTTCTTTTTATCCTCATTTTTCTGATTTTTGGGACATTGTTAAAGCTGCAGGAATGACAAGAAACAGCCATAGTGACCTTCACTACCTCACTGGGTTCATTTTGTTCCGCTGAGGTTAACTAATGACTCGTTGTCGTTGTAATTTTGCAGTTTTCCTCTCAGAGAAAGAGTACTGCTCTTATGAAGCATAAACTCAACATCAGAGAGAAACATGATGGAGATGTTCGACAAGAGACGACAAACACAAAGCATGTTTTAAAGAAGAAACTTTGAGGCTCAAGAGCAAAAGTGAAATGAAGACAAAATATACTGGACTGAAAAGGAAAAACTGTGAATTTGAAATGTGAGAGAAACCAAAGAAAGCAGGAAGAGTGTTTGAAGGATCAAACTGCGGTCAAACCTTTATCTGGACAGGATCAAAGCAACAAGTAGGTACAACACAAACACTCAAACTTCACACTTTCCACACAGTTTAATCGAGGTGAATTCATGTTGTATATGCTGCCAACTCCTGTTGATCACAGGGGGTCAGGGGTGACTGTTGGGCTTTTCTCCATGTTCTTTGTATTACTGTAGGGTGTTTACCGTACAATATAAAGAACCTTTAGGCATCTGGTGTTGTGATTTGGTGCTGTATAAATAAAACTGAACTGAAACTGAATTGAGTCTCATATCCAGTAATCCTCTGTTTGTTCGTGACCATAAAGCACTTAAGCAGTTTTTGCTTTCTGAACGACACTCCTAGGTTAAACTCCTTAAACTGTTAAAAACCTTAAACTGCAGAGTTACATCAATTTCTATTCAAACAAAAATAAATGTATATAAATAATAAAATTAAATAATATTAATATTAATAGATTTTAGAGAAACAAAATACATTTTTAGCTATTTCCAACAGCTTAGGAGTTGCTTTTAAAAACCTCCAGTAAAAGGTCAAACAATGACAGAATAAGTTAAAACTATAATAGTTTCCTCTTTGCTCCTCACACATATGGTTCTTGTGATGAATGTATGTTTTCATCTTGATTTAGATTGATTGTAGATGTTAATATTTTTCTTTCATTTGTAGAGGAGTCTGGAACATCTCTGATTAATGATAAAAGCTTCCCTCACATCAACAGAATCTGCATTTGACACACACTATTTAGTATCGTGGATCTAACACAGAAAGCTAACCAACAAGCATTTATTTCAGTAAAACTTGTAATATTAGCTGATAAAGTGAAAATGGCAGCTAAGTTTCCAGATCAGCTGTAGAAGTTTGGATTAATTAGTTAACCTTATCAACTAAAGATGGGATTTAGCTATGTGACACTAACCCTAACATGCTAATATTAATGATGCTAATATTACACAGAAAAAAAGAGCTCAAAATCATGATCGATCCAGAAAACCATGTAAATTGACTGGTATGAACTATCCGGTCGTTAAGTGATGTAGTGACGAATCCTACTTATGGGCCTAAAGTAGTCTGCGTTTAATATGGCTTTTGTGTTGTTAACATGTTTAATGTTTTGTATTTTCTTCTATTTAATCTCAAAAAGCTCCTAAATCATTTATTTAAGCCTAGTTTTTAAAACCTTAGGATGTAACTACAGCCCAGCCCATGCAGCAGTATATGAATGACTAACCTCGTATTGTGGATGGATTATCTCAGTTGTTCTCCTGGCTGAAGTTTGGTCCTTTTACAGCATCCTGCCATGCGATTACATTTGTTCCAGACCACCGAGAACACTCACGTTAACTTTTATCGAGTGGAAAAAAAGTTAGCTTGTTTATATTATGCTAACATAGCTGTGTCGCTAGCGATCACGTAGCACATCATTATATACCAGCTAGCCCAACTTCAGTAACCCTACAAACGTCACTGCTGTTTAGTTTTCTGTCTTCATTTATGTTGGAAGTGATAACAGAGCTGTACGTTTTAATTTGTTTCCAAAACCCCGCAGTCAGGACATGCTATATTGTATTTAGATAGAAGCTAGCGAGCTAACTTCCTGCTAACTTCTAACTCCGTTAAATGTCATAAATTCCGTTTTCATGGATGTGTGGATGTTAAACTCAATTGTTACTCCTGGTAGAGCAGAACGCTGATCATTTTATTAAAGATGAAAGACTTTAGACAGTTTTTCAACTCTCAGTAATGCCATAGTGATCATTTGATATATGGACCTGCAGCGGAGTTTAGGCCCAGACACGGCTAGTGACATCAGACTTAACGACTGGATAGTTATCAAAAGATGGTCAAAGTTGTGTTTGTTATGGACCAGTTTAAAACTGAATTTATACTGGCTAATGTTGGCTTACCTATGCAGACAAGTTGCTTAGTACATGGCATAGTAGCTATCTGACATATTATGAGGAGAATAAGAAAAGAGAGCAATCAAATGCAATTTGAACTGAGTAAAGGTTATTTTAAAGCTCATAATTTTCCTTTTTTTCTTTTTTTATCCCATGTTCAGACATCCTGCATCTAAAGCCCAAATTTAAAGCTTCACTTGCTGAAATTTATCTTACTGTAAATATTGTTGTTTTATTAAGTGTCTGATAGCCAGTCCAGGTGAACGGATTTTAGAGTGCTGACAAGTAATTTTTCTTCCATTTACCAACCCAGACATCTGATAATAGAGATTTAATGTCCTGTCAACAGTCAGGTTAGTGTGTTGCTACCTGATTGGATTAACCCTGAAACCTGGACCTGATCTGGGCCAAGACTGCGTTCAGCCAACTGTGCCACTGAAAGGCGTCTTAGATTTTTGGCAGAGAGACCTGAAACCATTTATAGTCAGCAGCCACTTTATTAGATACACCTGAGAGGTTGAATGCAGTCCAGTACAACAACTTGGCAATGATTTATTTTATTTTTTCAATATTTCTGTTAATCATTACATTTTACATATCTATATGACATTTACAGTGTGGAGTATAAAATATTAGGAACTCATTTAAATGCAATCCAGAGCAGCCACTTCAGTAATACACAAGATATCTCCCTTTTGACAGTCAAAAGAAAAATTAAAAATGTAAGTTGAATATTGAAAATCAAATAGCCTGGAGGTTTTTATCTTAGTTATTCTCCAAATATTTTTATTTATTGATTGATTTTGTTTCTTTTCTGTGCACGTGTTTCACATTTAAAGTGAGAAGTTTGTGGAAAAAAAAACAGTTTATGACCTTTGTGTAACTGCAAAAAAATGTAATAAAACCAATAAAATATAATAAATGATGCTCAACCAAATGGTAGAACACATTTTCAGGCTTTCACTGAAATTAACCTACCTTATTGAGTCTTTTCTAACAATTGGTTTACATCTGTAATGCCCAAAAAATCCACCAGAAGGCACTGTGAATGTAAACGGTTGGCTCTTCTTATCCCTCTACCAACCAGGTAGTCAGAAACAAAAAAACATCAAACATATTTTGAGTGTTTTTGATGAAACTAAGGCAGGAAGATATAATTATTTGATTTATAATAGTGTTAGAGGAATTACTAAACAGATGTATGTCACTTGACAGCATTAAAAAAGTGAAATTAAATGCTTAATAATGTTTTTTAAAAAGTGGTCAACCAAACGGTTGATTTGTCCCTTTATGGTGCTAATGCTAACATAACCTAAATGTTATTAAAATTGATTATTTGCCATAAACTCAGACCACTAGACCCATTTTGTTTATCCATTGCTGTTGATAAATCACATTAACAGTGTTGGGGAGTAACGGAATACATGTACCACCGTTACGTATTTAAAATACAAAATATGAGTAACTGTATTCCGCTACAGTTACCGTTTAAAAAGGTGGTATTCAGAATACAGTTACTTTTTCCTGTTTCATATTGTCGTGGGTCAGGACTGTTTGGGTTTTGCTATGTTCTGTTATTCCAGGTGGCAGCGTTGTGGTTGCCATGGTTACAGGGTGACGCGGGCTCTCTCTGCCTGTTTCCTGGGTGAGAGAGCACCTTTTTGTTGTTGTTGTTGTGCTAAGCTAATAGGCAGAATGCTACAGTCATAGCCCTAAAGAATGTAGCTTCATGGGCAGTGTAGTCCGTGCTGCAGGGAGAATGGACTGCCATACACATTATGTGTCTGTGAGCGCGAGGAAAAGAGTGGAAAAGTACTAGTTGTCATTGAGCAGAAACGGGAGCTGGAAGCATGTAAATATAATAATAACCACTGCAGCCAAGAAGAGTGCCTGACGAGCCCAGTTGTAAGTAAGCTATTAAGACTCGACTGTGTTCGTGTTTTCTTCCGAAACAATAAGTTCTGTTGGAGCAGCCTTTCAACGCCTCTCTGTCTCAAACTTGAGCCAGACAACAAAGTAAAGCTATTTTTCGGCTACTAGCCTGACAGGAAACGATGTATTAGCCAGAGGTCCATTTACTATGGTTCGGAGCCACGGACCTTCAGTAATAGTAATAAATCACACAGCAATAGTACATTCATGTAGTTGTAAAAAGCATGATAATATATTAAGTAATCCAAAGTATTCAGAATACGTTACTCTCATTGAGTAACGTAACGGAATACGTTACAAAATACATTTTGGGGCATGTATTCTGTAATCTGTAGTGGAATACATTTTAAAAGTAACCTTCCCAACACTGCACATTAAGTGTTAGCACAGCAAGAATATGCTGAAATAATTTCCTCAGTAAGTCATTTTTGTAACTTTCTGAGTTAATATTAGTAAATATTGTAAAAATCAAGAATAACATGTGGAAATCACAAATATCACAACCGATTACCTTTTAACCAAATTACAGTAGCTGGTAAATTAATATTACTAAATTGTCAAAATTATAATTTCATGTTGAACAAGTACTATATGGACGCTAAACAATTATATGGCTAAAAATCATACGTCCTGTGGCATGATACTCATGATACCATCCACCTTCAACCACAGTGTGTTTGAGGTCATGGTTTCATATGAAGCCACAAGGTCTGATTGCAATGAAATGGTTTGACAAGAAATGTGTCAACCAATGCCTGTGGGTTCATGCCTCTTTCATTGGTCAAACGGTGGAGCAAAGAGTCCAATGCAAAGATCACCATTCCATGCCCATCACTCATCCCTGTATATAATTAGCATATGGGAGGAATTAAACTTTCTGATATGCTATTACACCTGTATAAGACAAGTTATAGGTTACAAGATAAGTAGATGGCATATTCCACTGTTCGGATACATCTTTGACTTGAATACCTGGTCTACAAGAGGGACTGTGCCCTACTGGACCAGAAACCAATGGCTCTCAAAAGGTTTCCACCTGGCTGTGTCTGAACCAAGTTAACAAGCCAGCATCTAGATTTGGACAACCATGATTCAGCTCTCCAAGACCACAGAGTAAATGCTACACCCTAAGACCCCAACGACCAAAACTACAAGCAGATGTGATTGATTTGCACTGTCTTTAGTTTTTTGTTTTTTTTTTTAAACAAAAATGATTTTGCACAGTAGCATTCAATCAGAAGTGGCCCGAATGTGAGTATTTTGTGCTGTTGCACATTTTTCACATTTGCAGATTTAAAAAAATATGTACTTTGTTGTTTGATATAATAGTTTCCTTTGATGGAATGAAAACCAGCAATGTTCACTGGCATGCTACTAGAAACAAATTGTATCCAATGCCCTGGATAGTTTTTGTTATTAATTTAATTATAATTTGGCCCTTTATTTGATTTTTTCAACTGTATTATCTACTGTACTTGTATTTGCATGACATTTCATACTTTTACCATGAAGTGACATCTCAACTGTTTGGTAGAGATCAATATTTTAAAAACTACAGGGTCTATTGAAAAAAAATTATTGATTGTGGTTATTACTCACCCAAGTCAATAAGAAATGCAAACAAAAAAAATTTCCATTGCTTTTTTCTTGCTGTGGATCTCAAAGGGTCAAAAGACTGATAAGTGTAAAAACTGAAAAGCTATGAAGTGGCTAGCTTGTCCAAACTGCATCCCTCCTTTTATCCCATGTTTGGGTTCAACTCCACCACACTGTAAAATTTAGTAAGTTGTCATTACAAAAAACAAAACAAAAACAAAACTGGTCTTAGAGGAAATGCAAATATGTTACATTATAATTTGGAGGGTATTTGCACTCATATATCAAATAAACACCTTATTCAGTGATTGCAACTAAAACCTGAGTGGACTTCATCACTTGGACAAACTTCATATCATCACCATCAACACCAGCTTCTATAAAAAAAAAAAAGTTATTTACTAGAAATTAAAATTGTCCCATGCACCGCACAAGTACAGGAAATCTGATTTTATTAACATTTTAAGCACAAGCCTGAACAAAATTAGTCAAGGTGACTTTTACACTGGAAATCTGTTACACACCCACAAAAGCCAAATCTGCACACACCCAAACTGAATGAAGGATCACAATTACTTAGTGAAGCACATTTACACAACTATACTCTTCAGTGTGCATTATTCAATGCAGTTAACAAACTTCAAAAAATATATATACATAACGTTAAATGCACTGATGTAATTTAAGGTTGTTGTATTTACTGAGTAACACTCCTTAGGCAATTATTTTGTGTAAAATGGATTTTAATGACAAATCATCATTACTGGTGCCACTTTTTTTCTAAGTGCTTCTTCTGGTTTGTTTTGAGCCCTGTGTACGGGAGCCTGGATGTTTCCTCAACACTGAAAGACAGAACAGCTTTGCTGCTGTTATCACTGATGTAAATCTGTTTGACCCCATTCAGCTCACAGAAGAGCCAGGCCTTACAACTCTGTAACCATGGGTGAAGATTGCAGCGAGCTGTTAAATGGTGACTGTGAGGCGGCGCGGCAGACTAGCGACATCACCTTTAGCACTGGGATAAGCCCCACCTCCAACCTGCGCAGGAAGCAGCTGCTGTGGCAGAACGCCGTCAGGAACATCATTGACCAGCACAACCTGTACACACTGAGGCTCGCTGGGGGTTTGGAGCGAGGCAAGCACCATATCAAAGTCACCGATGCCTACATCGCGGACATCAACAGGTAGAAAGAAACTGATTTCTGAGTTAACTGAACCTTAACTATAATAAACGTTGGTATTAAGGTTAACTTCATCCTGCTGAAATTGCAAATGATCTCAATTAAAACGTTGAAATAACATTCCTGATTACTTTTTTCTTGATCGTTAATTAACTATAAACATATTAGTTAACTCCTAAAATGTGAATTTTTCCTGATTAATGTACAAATTAATGTAATCTTAAAGTTATTTAAAGTGTTATTTTACATTCCTTCCAGAATAATTTATGTGTTTATTAAAAATACATTGATTCATAGTAATTTCATGATTGAATTGATTGAATAACCTTAATAAATGTATGAACTGTCGGCATCTTAATTATTAATACAAGTTATCCTTATCCAAAACAGTTTATAAGTTACTGAATTAAGAACATTTAACAAAAGAAAACGTTTTTCACATAATATTTTTTGTCTATTCTCTTAAATCAAACTTGAAGTATTACACAAGTTCTTCGGTCTGTGTTGTCTTGCAGGCAGATCCGCAATAAAGCGTCTCGTGGAGTATTTTGGCAGAAGCGCCGTTCGTCAGCAGCTCGCATTCACCCAACAGTCACCACAGCAACACAGAGCAAACACGACCCACTCAGTGATGCTGACTTCTTTGTGTCGTCTGGGTGGACGGTGCGAGGCGTCTTCATCCCCACACTGCAGCACAAATTCAAGTAAAGACATTCAAATGGACATTTTAACTAAAAACCATACAATTATTAACTGTATAATAACAATTATGATACAGTCATAAAATTAATGATCTTTGTTTAAATATGCTTTGTAGCATAAACCTTGATAGTATTTAGAATTTTTTACATATTTAATCATAAATCTTTACTTGCCTATTTTATTTATTCAGGTGTCTTATTGACTATATTGTTGCTTATTGTCAATGGTATAAAAATAAGTAATGCTGATGCTTATAACCTCTTCAGGTCTGCAGACTTGGAGCAGCTCTACCAGCAGTTCTCCTTGGCTCAGAGAAGAACCTCACTGGTCGTCACTGTTGTCGTTGACATCCTGACCCGCCTTCTTGTCTCATTGCTGACATGGCCGCTGGGCTGGTGGGGCATGGCCTGTGATTGGCTTACCGGTCTGTCTGTAGTCTTGTGGATAGGAATCTGCCTGGTGGTTCTGACCAGAAAGGAAGTCTTGTCATCACCTCAGTGGCTTAGGTACACTGGGATGTAGCAGACCTGCTTGCTATGTGGGAGGGCTCCTTATAAGGATCTCTGTGCCAACTTAGCGACATCCTACATGAACTAAGTTACTATGTCTTTTAATGTAATCTGTCGCTAATATTATAGTACCTTGATGTGCGAAACAATATGGATTTATTTGTTTATTTATTTGGCTGTTATTAGGAAAGAAGCACTGCACTGCAGAGGGCATGTTTAGTTTTCTTTAAGATAAATATCAAGTTATATGCAGATGACATTTCATCCTACCAGCAGAATCTAAACAGTAGCTCAAATTTTAAACCACAGATAAGTCAATGTGACTGCTTGACTGCATTTACCAACACAGAAGTGATTTTCTAAAACAAATTCCTGACATTGAAAGCTGTAAGATGTCATAAATTCTTTTGGAAGAACGTTTGTTATTCTCTCCAGAAAAGGAAAGAAGAACTACGACTTCAGAAGCTGAAGGAACCTCTAAAATTCTTCAGTTTTCCAGAGTCTTATTCTGAAAATGTTTCACTTAAAAATTTGAAGACAGTGACCTGTTCTTCCTTTAAATCTACCTCAGGTATCTGTCAGTGGTCAGCTGGCTGTCTCAGACCTTCCAAGTGCTGGTTGGTGTTTTCAGTTGGGCGGAGAGCGATCACTCTTGGTATGTCTTCTTCACGCTTTTCTCCACTTACACCCTCCTGCCCCTCCCCCTCCTCTGGTCCATCATTGCGGGGGGAACCACCTCCACTCTGCACCTCCTGGTGGATTTCTGCTGTCACTATAATGACCACAGCTTCATCAGAAAGGTAACAAAATTGCTACATTTTATTGGCTGCTTTCTGTCACTGTGCAGTTAAACTGTCTGGTTGTACACGTGCAGGTGTTGTCCAAGGCTCTGCTGTATCTGGCTATGAACACTGCGGGTCTGTTCATTCACTACCTGTCTGATTGGACTCAGAGACAGTCTTTCCTGGAGACCAGGCGCTGTATCGAAGGACGAGTCAGACTAGAGAGGGAGAACAACAGACAAGTGAGGATGATATTTAAGGGTTCCCTAATCTTTTGTGTCCCTATTGAAGTGGAAGAAGTATTAGGATCATTTGTAAATGTGGTCAACCTATTCATCTATTTATTAATGATCTCAGTTATCAGCATAAAGTCAAATCATCATTTTTCTGACCAAACGTAACAAGATGTTTAACTAAGAAACAGCTAGGTAGCAAGTCATGTGAAACAAAGTATTTGGGATATGTCTGGACCTCATATATCCTAAAGCTAATGATGTGTGCGTCTTTGTGCTGTCAGGAACGCCTGGTGATGTCAATCCTACCTCAATTTCTGGTGCTTGAGATGATTGGTGACATGGCCGTCATGGAAGATTATCTGCTGCCTCAGCAGTTGCACAAGATCTACATTCACCATTACAAGGATGTCAGGTAATACAACCCACTTCTTTATGATGACGAGCCAGCTGGACACACATGCTATAAATGTAGTTTTAAAAGAATGAAGAACTTTGAGGAGCTTCAACAGACTAACAACTCTACTATAGTTATTGTATCAACTGAAATGATTTGTTATGGCAGTCAAATGAGCAGTTAACCTTTAACCACAGAGTTTTGTATCAAAAACCTCTAACTTTAGGCTCTAGTTTAGCTTACTAATTGTGGAGCCAACCACATACCACACAGCTATAACGTAGTCCAACTCATGGACCTTTGCTGAGTTTCTTCCTCCATTGTCCCATCTTTCTATCTACTTTAAAAAAAATTAAAAAATGCCCCCAAAATTGATTAACGCTTGAACAGCCAGCAGGTGTGATTTTTTGTTCTGCAACAACACCAGTAATAATGCAAAGGCATAATTTCTTAAAGAAGTTTTTAGCTTTCATCTAATGTAAAATAAGACTGAACAGGTATTGTTAGTGGTTTTATAAATTATTTCGATGATTTCATTACAGATTGTAAAGTTAAAAATGTAGAGGATGAATAAAGAATATGTAAAGGTCATTTAGCCAAAAACGTATTGCAGTAGTGGTTTTACATTGGTTTCAGTGGGATTAAAATGATATTCTCATGATGAGAATTTTGCCTCTCCACAGCATCCTGTTTGCAGACATCATCGGCTTCACATCGCTGTCATTGATTCTTTCGGCTCAGGATCTCGTTAAAACCCTCAATGAACTCTTTGGTCGCTTCGACAGGCTGGCTGAGGTCAGATCACCTTGTCAACTGCATCAGCTCCTGTTTTATGTGTTTGTACCAGTTAAAGGATTGGTGTATTTGTTATTCTACTAGGGGTTCTTTTGTTAAGTTTTGTATAAAGTTTTTTCATTTGAATTTAATCTTTATTTGGCTTTTGCCATTTATTTATTTATTTAGTGTTTTTTAAATGTACATGGCCACAGTTTTTCTTTTTTCCCCTGTGTTTGAGTACAGGACCACCAGTGTTTGCGCATTAAGATTCTGGGTGATTGTTATTACTGCGTATCAGGAGTCCCAGAGCCTCAGAGAGGACATGCCCGCTGCTGTGTGGAGATGGGCCTCAGTATGATCAACACTATACGGTACCAATCATCTGTGGCTAACACAGCCCTACAGCTGTTTCCACAAAACTTCACAGGTGTATTTCATTTTAGTTACGTTCGTCGGGAGCTCCAGCAGGAAGTGGACATGCGAATAGGCGTCCACTCTGGCTCCGTTCTTTGTGGTGTTTTGGGTCTTCAGAAGTGGCAGTTTGACATCTGGAGCTGGGACGTGGACGTCGCCAACAGTTTGGAGGCTGCAGGAGTGCCTGGGTAAGACAAATTAATACATAATATATCCTTATTACTTAATTGCCAAACTGCAGTTTGCTATAGGTGTCATCCCATAAAGTTAATCTTAATGATTAAAATACAGAAGATTTTTGTGATGTGTTGTACATTTTCATCTCCTTTCAGTCAGGTTCACATCTCCAAGGCCACTCTGGACTGTCTGGGTGGGATCTATGAGACAGAGGCGGGACATGGCCAGGATCGTAGCGAGTTTCTACGGAAACACAACATCGACACATACCTGGTCCGTCCGGCATCGAAGGAAGATGTGGAGCCGCCTAAAGCAAGGCGCCCCAGTTATGACGAGATAACAACGTGGAGTGCTGAGCTGCCATTTGGAGACATCCTAGGAAAGAATTTTGTGAGTGCAGAAGACAGATTCAAAGTCCATTAGTACTTTTCTGATTGAATTTCAATAACCTTTGACCTTTTGTTGTATTCTTTGTTGGTTCACAGATCCTTGCTACTTTTACCAATGGTTCACTGACCCAGCTGCCCAATAATATAGCAGCTCAGCGCTCAGGAACACGGGAGGTGAACAAGAGGATTCGCCAGGCCATGGAGGTGCGCAGCAGTGAGCGAATGAGGAAGGAGCACATCACGACCTTTACTCAGGTGTTTAAGGACTCCCATGTGGAGGGAAAGGTAACACGAGAATCTTTTTTCTTAGTAGGTTTTTTTGGGGGGGTGAAACTGGCACCTTGAAAACAGTCATTAATAAAATGTTTGTCTCTCAGTATTCTCAGATGAGAGACGAACTCTTCAAATCTAACATGGTTTGCTCCTTCATTCTGCTGCTGCTTTTAATGACAGTCCAGGTGCTAATCCCAGCCCCAAGGTATAGAGTTTCCTTTTGTTAAATGATGTAAATAATTGTAAATGATGTTTGTCCAATTATCCAACAATTGGAAAAACATAAGCTTAACATGTTGTAAAAAACAAAACAAAACCATAGAATTTGTATTTAATCTTCAGATAAAACTGAAGACACTGCTATTGGTCCTGATCATATTTCAACTAGTGTTACTTTCTACTGTAACACGTTCAGAGTCACTGAAATCACCTTTTTCCATTCTGACCTTTATCTTGACCGTGTCTACATGCCAAATACATTAAATTGCTGCCATGAGATTAGATATTTGTGTTAATGAGCAGCTGTAATTAAATATATATTGAAAATATAAGACTTTGTGATCTTTTCAGCACCAAAATGTAACAGTACAAAAACAAGCTTCTGCAAATGCTTTTTTGTTTTTTATGTTAATAGATATTATTTTAACAGCCCTCACATCTAAAAGAGAAAATCATCTGCATAGGATCAGGTACCAATTGTTTCTCTGCACTTTTTGGCTCGATATAATAATTTATCTGGTCATGCTTAGAGATAAATGAAGCTAAAGATGAAACAAATTTGTTTTCCCCTTAAAAATATTATAAATGTTATACAAGGAGAGGAAACATCTTGTTCATGCTGACCGGAACTTCTATAACAGCTGACATGTGTGTGTTTAGTAACTTTTTGTTCCCACAGATTGTGTCCAATGGTCGTTCAGTTTGTGGTCAGTGGCGGCATTTACTTCCTGCTCTTGCTGCTGACTCTGGGGGAGGAATTTAAGCATTGTCCTGCTCCCCTCCAGTCAATCTGCTGTTGGGTGCATGAAAACAAGAGTGCCCGCATGCTGCTCACACTCACTGCCATCACTGTCAACTTTGGAATCACCTCTGCAGACATTGTAAGTCTGATATTGTTTTTATCAAATCAACAACTAAGATATGTTATAGGTCATAAATACCAAACGATCATAAGAAAAGATTTGAAAACCAAACAAGCTAACATATTAAATCGATTAAAAGAACATCATTGTCCGCCTCAGCATCACTTCTGTAACAGTTGCTGATGTGAATGCTGAGAAATGCAAAGAATGAAGCAATTTGGGGGAAAATGAATTCTCCAAAAATATTGTTTTACATTTTAAGCAGCAATGTTGACACAACACAGTGTGAGGATTACTGTTTGATGATGAGTCTCCATCAGTATAAAAGAGTATCAAGAGTATTGATTGTAATCACCTTGAATTTCTAAAGTTTTGCAAAAATGTGTTCTCTGTAAACGAAGTGTGAAATTACATCACTTTGACAGCATTGTCGTTTCAACAACTAAAAATGTGTATTTACACATTCTTTAGTTGCACCGGAACAGTGTTAACAGCAACATAAGATAAAATTAAAAATTTTCTTACAACAATGGGAATGTTTGTTTGAAGCATTTCAAGAAGTCCCTCCATTTTTGCATTGCTAGTGTTTTCGTTTAGTTTCTTGGTATTTTGTGCCAAAAAGTAATGACTCACCTGCAATAACGTGCACATCTTATTGTCTATTATGATTTCCCATATACTGACAACCAATCTTTTATGTTAAACATTTTTAAAAACCTCAGTGGGAATAATAGCTTCTTCCAGCAACTTACTGAAAGGCTTTGGTACAAAGAATTTAGTACAAAATAACTTGTTAGAAAGCTTCTTGCTTGCTTCCACTAGCTGTGGTGTGATTCATCAGAAACTGACATCAGCAACAGGGACTCCCTGCTGGCTCCGCCTCCCTCGGCTTGGACCGATATCAACATTTGCACATATCCAGAGGTGAACACTCAAACATCACATGAACTCAGAATCATGATGACATGGTTTTGATTAGTCAGTAACCATTTTTAAAATTATCACTGGCCTTTCTGTGTACAGTACATGGTTCTAAGTGGCGTGGTTGCTATGGTTACCTGTGCCGTGTTCCTCAGACTGAGCTGCGTGTTGCAGCTGGCCGTTCTACTGCTGTTTGCTGCCCTCTACACCTACATAATCAAGAATTACAGGTACAAGTTCCATTCAGGTCATGTTCCTGTGTTTTTGTGTAAAGGTGTGGAAAATAAAATGTGGTCTCCTCTGTTGTTGTCAGGTCTCATCACTTGTGCAGGAATGGAGTCTGTGTTGTTCTTATGCTGATGTTTGTGGTGGCTGTCCTCTTCAACAGCAGACAGGTGGATTCTGTTAAACACGCTACCAGCTTTTATTGCTATCAAGCAAACAATGATAACCCTGATATGAATTCAGTATGCTAATATCCACCACTTCCCTCTTCCATTTCTTCACTGGTAGCTGGAGGCGACAGCACGGCTGGACTTCCTCTGGGGCCTTCAGGCAAAGAAGGAGGTGGAGGACATGAAGGAGCAGCGGGAGCACAATGAGTGTCTGCTGCTCAATATCCTGCCCGCACATGTTGCCCAGCACTTCTTGGAGAGAGACCGCAATGATGAGGTACCTGATGCCTTTCACATAGCAGCCAACTTGATTTCCTATTGAGTTTTGGAGCTCCAGCATTAGCATTCTGGTCACTGTCATTTAGTTTTTTCTAGTCAGAAGTGACCATATCTTTATGAGAGAGGATAACTAAGTTATCAGTTAATCAAAGCTAACTTCATTATCATGCTCTGGCCATGGGAGCATCACAGGACTACTGGGACCATTACACAGACACAGATAACTGTTAATCAGTGTGTAAAAAAATCCTAGACTTCCTTCAGCAAAACAGGAGCACAGACTTCTTGGGTGATTTATGAGTGCAAGTAACCATGCAGCAGACATATTATTGGTCAGATAATTGTATTGAAGTGTTCCGAAAAAAGGTCCAAAAAGAGGGTAAAATATCACTGTATACTCATGATGTGATTCTGTATATTACCAAATTACACAAATCAGTTCAAACACTGTCCTGAGGTCAGAGTTTAGATTTTCCAATTAGCTCAGATGTATAACCTCCTATGTCATCATCCACCTGTCATCCAGAGGCCACTCCTCCAGACTTTCAGCCTTGATAAAATTTAGGCACGTGATTTCTAAAAAATTAAAAACAAACAACACTCGTACAGTTACATTTATTATAAATATATATATAAAAATTACTGTATAGAACAGCTGAGACTTTGTAAGAATTGGAAGTGGTTTAGATAATATTTTGTGGCCATTTGCACATTTTTTGAGTCTTTCGTGACTTTTTCAAGTTTTTGTATAATTGTTTCTCATCTTTAAATGCAAGGTGTGACATATGCCCTCAGACCTCATGACCAGTAGGCCTGATCAATAATCGATATTTACTTATTCTATTAGTATGAGTCATATTAACAGAGCATTAAAGTGTGTGTGTGTGTGTGTGTGTGTGTGTGCGTGCGTGTGTGTTATCAGGAGTTGTACTCACAGTCGTATGAGCGAGTGGGCGTGCTGTTTGCCTCTCTGCCCGGATTCTCCGACTTCTACGAGGAAAAGGAGGTCCTTCATCAGCATGTTGAGTGTCTCCGCCTCCTTAACCACGTCATCAGCGACTTTGATGAGGTCATAAATCACACACACACACACACACAAACGAGATATGTTTTGTAAACTTTATTAAATGTAGTATTTTTTACCTTTGTGTTTGTGTGTTGTAGCTGCTGGATGAATGCTACTTTCAGCAGGTGGAGAAGATCAAAACCACTGGCAGCTGCTACATGGCAGCTTCAGGCCTCTCACCTGACAGGCAGGTGAGTCCTGCTGTTACATCACAACACTTAAATGCTCCCTCTGAGCCTCTTGTCAAAGGCTCTGATGTCCATACACTCTTCATTCAGACGTACATGTGTGTGTTCAGGATTGTGAGGATGGCTGGAATCACCTCAGTGAGTTGGTCCTGTTCGCACTCGCTATGCAGGAAACTCTCAAACACATCAACACACAGACAGGAAACAACTTCCAGCTCCGTGTTGGTAAGTACCACACACGCACGCACGCACGCACGCACACACGCACGCACGCACACACACACACGCACGCACACACAAATACCACTTTAGTACTCAAAGAAAAAAATAAAAATCTCTCTAGTTAGAAAGAGTTTAGAGGGAGAATTTGAAAGTTTTAAACAAACAGTTAAACCAGTAGTTTAGGTGCAAAGGTGAAAGATTTTCATCAAGAATGGGAATCATAAAAACATCAGAAATGTAAAAATGAACAATTTCACAAATGTATTTACTTCTTTTTATTTTATCTATAAAAAATCATTCTTTAAAATTCTTTGAAATAGATTCTTTAAAAATCATTCTTCTTTATATATTTTAAATGAATCATTGGTAAACAGTAACAAATATTTTAATATGTTTTTGAATAATGAACTTTTTAAAAGAATTACAAAATTACAAACATGTCTAGAAAATAATTTTTAAACAAAGTTTAATGTAATATTATTATTTTCATTATTATTATTACATTTTTAAAAGCTTTAGCAAAAATTAAAAAAAAAGTGTATCTTTTTCCCTTATTATTATTGTGTATTATTTAAACACTCCATGACCTTTGACCTCTAACATCACTTCGAGGTGTGGCTCACGGTCCGGTGATAGCAGGTGTGATTGGAGCCACCAAACCTCAGTACGACATCTGGGGGATGACAGTGAACATGGCGAGCAGGATGGAGAGCACCGGTGTGAGCGGGCGGATACAGGTGAGCTCACCTGTTTGGAGAAACATGAGGTCATCACTTCAACGGGTTTTTAAATGTCGTCTTTTGTGTTTAGGTCTCAGAACACACCAGCTCTATTCTGGTTGAACGAGGCTTTCTGAGGCAGCTCAGAGGGGACGTTTATCTCAAAGGGATTAGTGAACGCCACGGAAAGGTGAGCCATCATCATCATGTGACCACACACATGACCTAAAGATCTAAACTATGAGATTTAGGTGCAGGTATGAACAAATGAGTTTGAAAATAGTTACATTTAACATAAAATTAACATAACATAAAAAAAACTGCATTTTAACTTGGAGGGTTTATATTTAAACAAAAAAGTATATATCAAGAGTATGACAAAAAATTTTGAATTTTTATCATACAAATCAAAAGAAGTCAAAATGATGAGAAAGTGCATGACACAATTGTGCAGGAAAAGTGTGTCATACATTTTTGTAAAATTTGCCTAACACAAGGAGATCATTTTTATACATTTTTACCCCAAAAATATAAACAGAACTTTTCATAAACATGAGAAAAATATCATGTTTAATGTATTAGTTACATAAACTGTACACACCACTGATCAAAGTGTTTTCCCTTCAGGTTCGAACATACTTCGTGAGCAGTCGGGAGGAGCGATCCAGCTTTATAGAGCGTGGTGGGGGGCGGGGCTTCAGCCTCAATAGGAACACACTGGGAGCTGTGGTCTACAGTTTGGTTCAAGCCCAGAAAAGGGAGAAGATGAGGGAGGAGAACGGAGGCTTCCACCTGGTGGAGGCGTCGTGAGGAGGAAAAAAAGGTTTGGTTTTGAGGGTAAAAGGTAAAACTGTCAACATTTGTGAAAGCTGAAATGTTGAAGGGGGTAAGGAGTTTGAACATTCATCTGCATCGTCTTAAAGTAAAGGAAAGATTAGTAATGATGGTGATGGATTGTTGTACTTTTGCTCTGTGTTTTGGAACAAACAACTCCTGTGGTGCTTTGCAGAGCAAAGCTAACAACATGGAATCATGCATGTGCAAATTAAACATCACTAATCACTGAGACACTGAAGGAAAGTTAAAAGTAGACAGATTCTCAGGGGACCTCTCATGTGTCTGTTACTCTGGTTTCTAAGTGGATTCCTGAAGGTTTATTCTGGATATTCAAGCAGCCTTCCTTTATAAGACTCGTCATTCTGCCAAGACTTTGATGCAGAAAAACATTCATGTTTTATTTTATGTGTTTGTGTAGGTTTGATTTCCTCATATGAAACTATGGGTTTTAAGTCAATAAAAGATTATAGTTAAAATTTTAACACAACATGTAACTTTTTACAAAACATATTTGTAAAAAGATTTTATGAAAGTGTGAAGAATTTTCTTATATTTCTTATATTAAGCATTTATTTACTGTGTTTTTATTCTTGCTGTTAAAGGTTTCAAACTCTTCTAGCAATTTTTTTTTAAATTGTCATAACTTTGTCTGACCACCAGATGGAGCCGCGTGCAGGACCAAAAACATTTCAGGATCAAAGCACTTTACATTTAGATATTTTAGATTTGTGGATATATAAGAGACACATTAAGTTGTGACAGAACTTTGTTTGTCTACAGAGGACAAAGTGTGTCTATAAGAAGCGTTGATTTAAAAAATAAATAAATAAAAAGGAAAAATAAACGTGGGTTTGTCCCTTGCAGTGTTTTTTTATGGTTAAATGTTTGAGCGCTCTTATATTGTGGCTAATTTACAATAAAGATCTGCCTAATATTTGACAGCTGTTAATGATACTATTTTGTTATTCTAATAAAATAAACAGGAAAAGAGAAATTGCTAATTTCACATGTGTTTACCTTTAAACTTGAGTAGATTTTTCATTTCTAAAAACACTGAAACTTTTCTTTTAGTAAATCCAGCTCCCAGCTTAGGTGTAACTACTAACAGGGTGGTTGTTGTTCTTTTCATAACTAGATTAGGATGATGTAAATCTAATCTTATGTGAAGCCTGTATTAAATGTACCTCAGTGCTCAATCTTATGACTCTTGTGATTGCTGAAAGTAAAAGTCACAGGAAAAGGAAAGTAGATGCTGCGTTAATTCAAAGGTTAATATACCAGAAAATTATATAAGTAATCTGGACCTTACAGGGACAACTACGACTCAGGTGAATAACAACAAATGACATATTACAGTATGCCATGTATGTCCTGCAGTATGACCAACAGGTCCAAGTTTTGGACACAGAGTTACACCTGACTCTAGAATTCACTGGTACAGATTTCATGTTCAAATTCACGGTTGACTCAGCAACTGTCCGAGTCCCGTTGCAAAACCACAAGACCAATTGCTCATGGTTAGTATGAAGTGTTTGTGCTGAAACGCTGTGTTTGGTTTTGTGCATTACGACCAGACATCTCCACTTTGGTCTTGTCTGTCCCATAGACATTGTTCCAGAAGTCTTGTGGGTTGTTCAGATGCTACTTTGCAAACCTAAACTGTGTTTAAATTTTGGAAGGCAGCCCTTCCAAACCACCAGCTTTCCGTGTGTTTCACACACTACTCGTGCATTCTGGCTTAATTTTTGTTTAAAAAATAATAAAATGGTTCAGTATGTCATGTTTTGTAGTTCTGCTGAGGTTTTCTTTACCTAATTGAAAGACCTACTAAGTACATGTTCAAGTTCATGGTTGATTCATATCATGTTGTGAAAAACCTTATAATATAAAGAGAATTTAATTTGTTTTTGCCATAAGCGGACTGAGATGGAAAATGTGTTTTAGGAAACTTTCGGGTCGTACAAACACTAAATGCTTTCTGTTAGCAAATCAAACTAGAATGGCACAAATGGCATAAGAACTCATTCACTACTACTTTAAAAACGACTTTCACCGTTAATATTTGTTGGCTAACCTCATGTGAAGATTGTAGCCAGCGCCATTAAATATGATGTACCTCAGGGCTCAGTCATAGGCCCACTGTGACTGTGAATTTAAAAGTCAGTTGTTTATAGGCAAAACAGTTCTATTTGTCTCTTGTATAAACCTTAAAATCCTCCACAACAAACACATCCATGTACATGTGTAACAGAGAAGCAGAATGTGGAGTCTGGTTGAACTTTCATTTATCAGCATCTCCTGACTATAAGCGGGGGCCTTTGAGGTTACGGAGGGCAAATCAAATGGATTCACAGCTGGAATCCAGATCACATGAGTCTGTGAGTGATCTGATGTATGTGTGAGGAGAAAGCAGTCTATTCATTGTGCTGTGTTACAAAACTGCATGTTGGCTGACAGGTCTTGTGACATGAATAAATATTTCCGCTCTACAGTCTATAAACCATATAATAATAATAATAATAATAATAATAATAATAATAATAATAATAATGATATAAAGTTTAAAATCACTGAATTAATTGTTTTACACTTTGAGCTGATGGCGATGTAGTGGATTTAAACTCTTTAAAATGAATAAACTCTTAAAAACTGGTGTTATGTTTAAAAAAAAAACCTTTAACTTTAAGGAAATGTTTTCACTGTATTTGTTTCATTTTATACCTTTTACTTCTTTTTATTGTTTTGTCAGTATTTATGGTTGAATTATATTCATACTACAAATTATAATTCTTTTCATTATTTATGTACATTTGAATTCTGAGTTTATTATGTATTTCATTTTTCCATTTGAGTATGTTAGTATGTTTTCATAGTCATCTGTTTTATATTTACTTTATCATCATTGTTTTATTACATAGATCTTGTTGTTACATATTTTAAATTTGAATTTCTGGTTTTGTCTCTATTTCCACCTTTATTCAATCACAGTTTGTTTTCTGGCTGTGACCTTCAGTGGGGAGGACTTTGTTGTTGTTTCCAGTCATTGTTCATTAAAGCTGCTGATAAGCTGTGATTTACCATGATTTTCATGTGTATTTGATGTCAATAGATGTAGTTTGAGGGTTCTGTCAAATGCAAAGATAAATTTTCAGTCTTTACTTCAAGGTAAATAAAAACTGAGCAGGAAGCTGACCTGACAGACTGGAACTCGTGAGCGGCTGTGTCAGCTTGAAATTCGTATAATAGTTATCCAGTAACTAGTTTACAGCTATTACACAACTATTATACAGGACTGTGACCTTTGACCTCCAGGTATGCTCATAGCTGTGAATAATTGTTCAGAACAGGAACATCTGCAATGTTAGTTCTGCAGGTCATTCACACACGTTTATTTTATTTTTTTAAGTGAGGGGAAAGAAGTTTCAGACTTTATCAGTTAATCCACACATGACTGATCATGATTTAACGTTTGATTATTGAGCGCGATCGAAACATCTGAGGGATTGCTACGCTCCTGAACGCACCATCAGGTTTTTGTGGGAGGAGAAGGGGGGCCGGACAGGACATGCCTCCCTCCAGATAACTGAGCCCACGAGGCCGGATCATTAAAGACCAGAAACACCAGCACCATGGAGAGGGCACAGGAGACCGGCAACATGGGGGACCGGACAGGAACCAAGACCCGGTCTGGGTCTGATGAACTCATCTTCTTTGTTAATGGGAAGAAGGTAAAAATATTCATCTTTTAGCTCATTCGTAGTGACTTTACTGTGATCTCAGTCTGCCTCTGTAACATTTATATCATGCTTAATCCATCTTAACGATAACAAAGATCATGAACACTTAATTATGTAAGAATTTAGACTGTGCTTCAAATTGCAGCTGAATCTCCTGATTTTTTTTTATTGTAATCCAAGTAAATTGATTCTATTAATGTTATATTTTTTCACAAATAAAAGAACAAATGAGCAAAAAACTAGTAAAGTAATTAGAAAAAACAGAAGTTTGTTCAGATGAATAAAAAGTTGGGATGAAAAACTGAAGTATTTCAGAATGTGGAACAAAATGTTGGTGAAAGCAAAACATTGATGACTTACAGGCGACACGGTGCATTAAAAACACATAATAACATTCAGTTTGCTTCTGATAAGTGAGACAAACACAAAAAAGCTGGTAAAATAAATCATAGTAAGCTGTGCATGTGTAGCTGATACTCAGTGAAAGCTTTAATGTTTGTGAGAGGGAGCAAAATGAAAGATTCATTCATTAAAATACAGGATTAATTCAAAATATTCAGAATGTTACATTGGTCAGTTATACTACGCTTAAACCAGAGTCCATGCAAGTTTTAGTATATTTTTAATTACTAAAATCTAGACCAACATTTAATGTTTTATTTCTGATTCAGAATGTTTGATTAATGTAAATTAAGTTTATTTTGACTTTATAGCTGCAGCGTCCTCCTGGTAACTGACTGTTAGTTTGTTTCTGTAAATTTAAACTGGAAGGACATGAGCTGCACTCAGTTTACCTCAGCTGCCATCACTTTTCTGTCTCAGAGCAGTGAATAACTTGTTGATAATTAACTGTAAAACACTGATTTATATGTCCTGGTGTATTTTTCTGTGTATTTTTAGTCTTTTCATGTTGATTAAAATGTAACTTTTGAGCTTCTCTGTACTCTGAAAGATTGATTTGTGTTTGTGCTGCAGATTGTTGAGAAGAACCCAGACCCTGAGATGACCCTGCTGACATATCTGCGGAGAAAATGTATGATCACACATAAAAACACACACGTCTGTACAGTGTGTAGTATAATCTATAGAGTAACACATATAGTGTAGTGGTAGATAGACTTTGTCCTCAGTCAGTGGTTTTTTCAAGTTCAAGTTCAGCCTTGTTTTTTTCACTGTGCAGACGTTCCTGTTTATCTTTTTCTGTCACTGGTCACGTTTCCACCTTCAGCCTCGCGCACACTACATGAAGAAAAAGAGGAAGAACCCAAAGTAACAACCTAACCCAATAACGCAGCTGTTGATGTCTTTAATATGAATACAGAGGTTTAAATCAGTGGTGTTTTTAAGTGCTGGTTTGGTTTATTGTTTTTCTCATGATGAGCGGCTGCGAGGTCAGTGACTGTCTCTGCAATCAAACAGTCAAAGTCCAGCACTTTCCAGCATTTGGGATTTGTGCCAGAAAGCTTTCCTCTCTCATTTCCTGAGTGTTCATCTGTCATTTGTATTTCATAATTTATGAAATATTAAACTGTGACTGATGTTTCAGACTGCCCTCACAGCACAGCAGTATCTTTCGTGTCCCACTAGAGGAAACTGAATTCACAGGAACTATTAAATTGCCTTTAATAATAGTAAATAAAAGGAGCTAATTACAGGAAATGAAAGCAATCATACTAAAATTGTGCAGTATTGTTCACCATTAGATGTGTATACCACAAGTGTACCGTTTGTTACTAATGGGTATAAATATAAAAACATATTCCCAACTTTGATTTTTAGTTCAGTTTATTTAAATCTTATTTATATAGCACCAAATCAGAAGAGTCACCTAAAGCCACTTTATGTTGGCTTTAGGTGACTAACAGAGATGGGCAGTAACGCGTTACTTGTAACGCGTTACTGTAATCTGATTACTTTTTCTGAGTAACGAGTAAAGTAAGGGATTACTATTGCAAAAACAGTAATTAGATTACCGTTACTTTCCCGTAGGAATGCTGCGTTACTAAAACTGTGATTTTTTGCGAGAATGTCTCACGACAGTGACGTAAGCGAGTGCGCCGTTAGTGACAACAGCTGTGTGCAGATCAACAATGGATCACAGATCGATTGTGGGAGAGAGTATGAGTGTGCAGCGTGGAAGTACTGACCTTACTTTGAGTTCGATTCCATAAAAAGTGACAAAAACATTAGCGTCCATCGTGCGTGGGAAGAAAACTTCTTTTTACAGCGAAAAAAACCCCTAAACTTCCAAGCAAGCACCGAGTGTGCTATGACGTAATGGGAAACTCACAGAGACACTGCCGTATCCTTCCACTGACCGCTGCACACCTGCACCAGGGTAAAC